TCACGTACAGCCACCTATGTCTTTAAAAAACACACCCGTACATGTGAGACACTGCACAACTCTGTGCCTTTTGTTCAGAAAGGTCTGCGTGTCTCTTAAAGCCACGTTGAGCTTAAAGCGAATGCTGTGGTTCAATGACAACATGACAACAAGCTGGCAGGTGGCACACAATATGTGCTTTTGCCCCCCAGCTGTAAGAGGCTGATGGGGTACAGTAGTCACCCCGCCAGGCAAGAAGACGGGTGGGTGGCGTGGAGCCTAAGTTTATGAATGTGATAACTCTGGAAATAGACGATCCAGGAGCTTCAGATTGATGCTGCAGGTGGAACTGCTACAGATCTGATGAGTTTGAATCCCAGATTATATTTTCATCATGTGAATGTGAACCTGAGAATAAGGCGATGTAGGATTTCAAACTGATACCATCGGTGTGTCAACCAGGAGGCCGAGGGGCAGCACTGGAAGCTTGCAGTGTTTTTTTTAATGTGAGAAAACACACCCAGGGCTGGACTGGGACAAACATCAGCCCTGGTGTTTTTGGTCTAGACGTCCCACTGTGATCGCTCAGCGAAGGTAGGCAGAGGCTCCGTCACGTTAAGACGTCTGACCCTTCAGGATGGCCCATCGGCCAAAAAGTGCGTCGGCCCACCGGGAAAATGCCCGGCAGTCCAGCCCTGGGTAGTTATGCAAACCAGGCAGTAATGGACTCAAACTAGAATTTAATTTCCTTCTAATACTATCTGCCTCAACATGCATTTAATGCCCATAAGCCTAAAAACGCCCCGCTCTTCTGTCTCGTTCCCCTGTGACCTGTGTTTTTTATACAAGACTCATTAGACGGCTCGGCTGGCTGTGCAGCAGTGTTAGAGGAGATGGCATCGCTGTAATGGAGTTTAGTTTAAAAGTATTTGTTACAGCAGCCCTGCAAGGCTCTGCCAACCTCCCCCCACCATCCCCACCACCCCCGCTTCCAGCTACCTTGAATTGAATAAGCAGAAGAAAATGGAAGGACGGATTTGTTCGAGACACATTCAGCGTGCTATGATTTCTAATTTACCTTTCCTGAATGCATCACCGCTTCTCCGAGCTCATCCTTGCCAGAAAGAAGATAGAAATTTGCACAAAGCTTAAATTCATTTCAGAACTGTTCTGTTTTCAGTGTTTGGATGAAAAAGCATGAAAAGAGGTGCGTTTTTCTGCAATTTCTCTGCTTTTCAGGGATAGATGTCAATTTAATCTCAGGACAGCAGCATATATATCCAACTGCTTATTCCTCAATTCAAACCAGAGAGCTCGGCACTTCCTGTGGTCGGCGTGGATCGCTAAAACACGTTACTCACTGTGTCGAGGCAGGATTGTAGCTTCAAGATGCAGTGAGCGTGTTTCTGGTAGATATCTGTTTCTGAGTGTTTACATTAAAGCGTGGTAGCATTCAACGAGCCGCTCTCTTCTCTCTGCTTCACTTCTGCCTGTTCTTAAATAGGTTTAGAAGCGATGGAGACAACAGGACAGAGTTGAGATGGAAACGAGTTTATCAAAAAAAGCTGTTGTTAAGTAAAAGCTCAGACGGTCACTGTTGTTTTCTTTCAAGCTTTAGTTTCTTTGAGATCCTCCGAACGCTCCCCTGTGGAGTGTTGTTCTTAAACGCGGCTTTAATCAAAAATTAAAACGATTCAAATGTCAGCACCCGGTCTAATTACACACGCCCCTCTGTGATTTCGGTTTTTGTTGTTTGCTCTGCGGTGTCTGAATAAGAAGGTGGCATTTTCAGCTGCTGAAATACTTCATAAGTGGTCAGACTTGAATGGCTTCTCTTGATAGAAAAACAGCTTTTATCCAATTATCTGTCAGTCAGTTTGTTAGCACGATCCTCCAGCTTCACCTTTAAAAGGCACCTCAATTTATTATGAGAGTGAGAGCAGAGATTCAGATCTGGAGTCTGCCTCTGCTCGGCTGAGCTTAAATAGAGGAGCGTGACCTGTCGGAGACCCTTAAAGAACCTCACAGATGGAAAGAGCTCTCGGTATCCGAGCCCCGTACATTCTGAGATGTTCAGCCATCTTTCATCCTCGGCTTTCACCTGCCGTTGGTAAATAAGAAAGAGCTACGGTGCATGAATCTCACTTTAGTTCAAGATATGCCTGCGGGCTCAGTTACTGTCAAGATTGCAGCCTCTTTGGCTTCGAGCTGAGGATTCAGAGTGGTGGATGAGCGCAGAGTAAATAAAGATGACGAGGTGGTTCTCGCTTCTGTCAGGAATAAATCATGGCGGAGAATGTGCTGACTTGGTCACAGGATGCCCAGTGGCTGTGAGGATTTGGTGAAGAGCAGGCCAACCGCACTCCGGCCTGATAATGCACGCTGACCTACAGAATATTTAGAATCTGTGTTTGCAAGCAGGCGCCTGCAGGTGCGCGATAAATGAGCTGAGGAGAAAGCGTGTTCAAGTGAGCGGAAAAACGTAAACTTTTCAAACAGACGGCAGTGGAGCACGTCTGTGACATTCGTCTGATGTAAGAGGCTTTATCTTACAGGCTCCACCGTGTTACTTACTCTCTTTGATAAGGATGACGCGTCAGGAATCGCTGGATTTTTCTTCTTCTTTCCATTTGCAGCTGTCCTCTACAGTTCACTTGACTGTGAAGAGCGTTTATCTTCTGCGTGTGATAGTTTTGCTTTGTTGGGATCACATAAACACTGATGCAGTTTTAAAAAATCCTTTCTGCACGTCTGTGTCTGCTACTCAACGAGCGGTAAATTATCTTATTTGTTAGTGTCCGATTAGACAAGTGAAGTCAGAAATGGTGAACAGAGTTTCCTCGGTAACCTGCGCACACTGTCGTTTGTTTTTGGCTCGCTCTTTCTTCTTCTCTTGTTTGAGTGTTTATACATCTGTGCAAACTTTAGATTTGTCCTTGCAGAAACGTCCAGAGACCACATTTCTATGGGAGATGTCATAAAAACCCTCGTCATCTTTTGAAACACGGACCATGCAGTGCAGCGTTTTAACACTGTGACGCCAAATGGCCCCGAATCAGGCAAAGAGTCGGTTTATACGGCACGACGAGTGAGTTTAACCTCCACCTCGCCGTTTCTCTAAAGATAACTAAGGAGGTTTTTTTCCCTGCAGCGAACCACGTCTGAGCTCTGTCACGCAGTAAAACCAACACACTCGCACGTTTATCGTATTTCACTATTTTTGCTCTCATAATCACAGATGGCCAATTAAATGAGCCGGTTCATACGTGACACGTTTCTGCATCATAACCTGGTTTATTGTACGTAATCATATGAATCTTATTCTGTTGCCAGAAGTAAACTTGCATTAAACAGCGCTGAGCTTCTCCCCCAGACGTCATGTGACTGCCAGACGTTTTCATTTCATTTCACTTGCAGCACTTCAGATACGAATATTCAGTTTATTGGTTTAGACTTTCAGCTGGGACGCTTACGCAGTCACACAGTATCGATGCTGCATGTAAATTTAACTAAGAATTTAATTTGGGATCCATCCAGTCGTTTGTGTAAAGGAGGGCGTAGAGTGCCAGCCGACTGGGGTCTCAGGAAGTGGGAAATGAGTTGAGAGTGAGGGTTGGTCGCTAACAGCATTAGCACACAGTCCACCAGACTGTTGAAGAGGCCAGAGGGAGTTTAGTCCTGCCAGGAGTTTCAGCGCAGCAGGACCGATCGACTGAGCGCTAACACAGTGTGTCTGCATACTGTGTGTACAGCATGTGTGCGCTCACTTAAAATGTCACACACTCTCATATGGCTGACTGTAGTTTTGGAGCATAGCAAACCGAGCGTAGCATTAGTTAGCCTACTCACATTTGCTGCACCCCTGTAAGCCGGTTTGCAGCCCACCTCCACCCCAGCTGCTCGCTTCGTGCTCTTAATGAACTAATGTCATATTGTGTTGTTGCTGCTGCTCTCTCTGCTTTCTCCACTGCACATGTGTGCTTGTCAGGGAGGGCGCGTGCAGACACATGGAAACATGGCGCCAAAGATACGTTACTGCTGCCTCTGAAAAAGTTGCTGCTTTGCAGAGAGTGTTTTCTATTCGTTACAGGTAACATGAAACATTTCAAGCCTTTCTTTTTTTATTTTTAAGGATTGTGAAGCCAGAATCTGGGACCTTGTTTTTTTCAGTTTATAATCTAAATGAATAATTTCGCATTCCAGAAAGCATCATTTTAAGGAAACAGCTGTAAAGTAGTTTTAGGTTGTTTAGCATTGACCTTTTTCAGATCATCATTTGGTCTTGATGGGTTGCACATTCGGTCTGTTTGGGCATTATTGCGTTAGCCGGGCAGCGTGACCCCTCATAACCGCCATAAACTACAGACATGACTGGCTTCTTATTGCAGGAAATCTGAGGTTGGCAGGTAGCCATCACAAAGCAATTTTGTGCCAATGTGTTACTAACGATGCAGCGCGCTGCAGGACCACCACCTGCCTTTGTTGGGTAACAAGGTGATAATTGCAAACAGAAAGCTGAAGAAAGAGTCGCAACAATATCTAATAATGGCAAAGAAAAAAAAACTTGCACATGCCAAGCAGTTAATGAGAGGCCCAGATTCTCTCGTGAATAAATTACTAAATATTACATTAGCGCGTCTGCCTTTGCTTTGTATTGTATCCTATATTTTATGCATTTTTCTAATTTTAATATTGTTCAGTAGGACATTCTGGTGTCGTCTTTCTGTGTCTATACGTGGGAGAGGAAACAAATTGGGGGCATTTGGCGTTCAGCAGATGTTGTAGTTGGATTTTAAAGACTGAGGCATTAATTTACAATTACATGAAAACACTGTCACAAAGTTTCTACATTATTAATACATGATGGGGGATTTTGTGGGGCATGAAGATTTTAATTGTCTCTTAATAAAACGAATGGTATCAGAGCAATGAGGTTTCTGGGTCTATCCACGCTCGCTCGCAGTAATGAAACATGCTAAGCACACGTTCTACACAGTCACTGACCTGCCAACCTGTTGCAGGCTGGGATGATTCGCACCGAATCGGATGAGTACTTCATCGAGCCGCTGGAGAAAGGCACTCAGGAGCTGGAGGACCAGGGCAGGGTCCACGTGGTTTACCGCAGGTCAGCTCTGCTGCAGACTCCCTTGGACATCTCTGTGGATTACCAGCTACAAGGTAGGAGGCACGACCACGGTTCCTGCTGTATTCTCTTACTTATCAACTAATGGTGTGACACTCCTGTGAGGTCACCGCGGAGGGGTTGCTGTGAAGCTTCTCCGTATAATTAAATCTTTTTGTTAACTACTTGTGTCCAGCCCAATAGTCTAAAAAGCAAAAACTGACATTTACATCTGTGAAGAGTCCAGACTTCATCGTGTGCCTCACACAAATACAACAGCAGCAACTTTTTAGAGATATGAAAATGACACACACAAAAAAAACATTAAAATAATGAATGTTGATATTGATGAAAAATGTAAATGTTGGCAACAGGAGGTCACTTGTTAACATTTCAGCATTTATTCGTAGTTATCAGTGAAAGCAGTTACCGTATTTCCCGGACTACAAAGCGCACCTTAGCTGCACAAGCTAAAATCAGGGGAAAATCCTGTTTTGTACATACATTAGCCGCACCTGACTAAAAGCCGCAGGTGTTTCAATGTTGACTTATCATATGTAAGAGAATATGCACAAAGGGAATTGTCAGGAAAGAGATGGCTGTTTGGAGACACATCACTTTTATTAATATTTTGAAAAACAAGTTATGGGTACATATTTGCACAACTTTTTAGGTATATGAAGTGACACGGCTTTAACAAGAAGAAAAGTCAGTCATTCACCACCATCTTCCTGCGCACTAAAACCACCAAAGTCCTCTTCTCCAGTGTCGGATACAACAGGCTCAGGATGGCTCGTCATCCACTCTCAGCTTCTCTCCTTCGTTGTCACTTTCAAAACCAAAGAAATCCTCGTTGTCAGTGTCAGAGTCGAACACCCTCAGAAGGGCCGTGGCGGTGTCCTCCTCTCCATCATGCAGCAGTCCAGCCCTTCGAAATCCGTTGGTGATCGTGGATGTTTTCACACTTTTCCACGCTGTCAGAATCCACCGGTGGAGTTGAGCATAACTTGCTTTTCGCAAGTTTATCGCCGCTCGTCATCCACGCCTCCCGCTGAACGCGTAGCGCTACTTTGAAGTTTGTTTTTCGCGCTACTTGTACGGCACTATGTTGCCTGGCGGATGGACACGTGACCAACATACCACTCTTGAACCCCGATACTGTGTGTCTGATCACATGCCCTTCCGCCAGGCAACGTAGTGCCGTACAACAGCGGAACAAACAAAACAAATCGTCTTACGATATGACAAAAATCATGGACAATCCATAGAAAAGCCGCACCTGACTAAAAGCCGCAGGGTTCAAAGCTTGTGCAAAAAGTAGCGGCTTATAGCCCGACAATTACGGTAATTAGATTTCGTTCCCTGTGCTGCTGCTGCTTTTACTGCTACTCTGACTGTTGTTGCTCTAACTGTTGTTATTAATGCTCCAAACTGCAACAGGGAGCTGTAAATGCAAATTTTACCCTCTATTTATACCAAATAAATGTCATTGTTGCCACTGTTGGAAAATGTAATGCATCACTTGGACTGTGAAGGAGAACCGTGCTCAGGAAGGGTGATGAAACCACTGACTCACCGTGTGTTTAGGAACAACAAAGTCTATATTAAAACATAGAATCGCTTCACCTGCAATTTTTAAAAAGGGCTTAAAAGTATGGAGCAGGGTGATGACTGACTCGGGGGGAGCAGAGTCCTCTCCCTCTGGCTGTGGGTAAACAGAGCTGAGATACTGTGTTTAAGTCGTGCGCACACTGTGCTCGTGAGCCCGCGTCAGTTTGTGCTTACATTATGAGATCTGAATTGTGACAGACGTGCTTAGTGTTGCATTTCTTTTGCCTTTTCTCCACACGTCGGTGTGCCAGTGGATGCATTTGTCCTGATTGCTGCTCTAAAATTCATTTTCTCTGCCTTCATGCCCCTGCATACTAAAAACTGATGATAAAAGCCACCCTGAAGAAAGAGCGGAGTATGTTGCAGGCAAATAGTTACTCAATTTAAAGTTCCTCAACTACAATTTTGTTTCCATTTCCCCGCGCTAGCAAGTATTTATTCACCTGGAAGTTTGAGCAATAGTTATGGCCTCTGTTGCGTAGGCCATAACTACTATTATTATTCATCCATGACTGTAAAATTAGGTGGAGTTCGAATGTTGTCGTTAGTGATTAACAGGCTGTGACAGCTTGGATCATGGATGGATGGACGAGTGCGGATCTAAAACCCCATTAATTCATTTAATATGTGTATATATAATAAACTCTGTTTCATAGACATCTGTGAGCTTGACTGAGATAATTCAATGGAGAGTTTTTGACTGTCAACTAATTTTCCGATGGTTATCACGTCGTGTGTAGTAGTCACAGGGTAAATTACCAAGAAGCAGAGTAAATTTCATCCTCACCTCCCTCAGTAATGCTCATCCCATCCAAACGAGCTCGAGTTAGTTTAGCATCAGCTGAGAGAGTTGGTACTGTGGGATAAAGCTCTGTCTTGGCTCTTTGCCTGCTTTGAAACAGATAACAGATGTTCTTTAAGAAAACACGAGAGACTGATTGTGCTGATAAGCACCAGCACTCTCAGTAAGAAAGCTGAGAGACGTTATCAGAGGTCGGTTCATCAGGTGGTCTCATTCTTTAGTGGCAGAGGACAGAGGCATGATCCTATTATCTGATTTGTCTCATTTAAGGAATTAATTTCTAACAAATCAAAGAAAAGAAGGACAAAGGAAAACATCTGTGACAGCTGTGAGCTGTGCTGAGAGAACAGGTCCAGAAATATGAAACAAACGTCCTGCAAAACTCTAACAGCCATTTAATGTTTTCAATGATTTACTATGTAAATCCTGAAAAACTGACTTTATGTGAAGAAAGTGTGTTATTTCATCACCTCGTGTAAAGACGGCAGTACTTAAACTGAGCGGCTCATTAAAGAGTTAGATGAATAAAATTGTGTAGCAAAATCTGTGATAATTGTAAGTTAAAATGGAATAAATCTGCAGAAAGTGTAACTACGAAAAGCTGATCTTGTGCCTCGAACGCCGCAGACCGAGAGAATTTAATGAACATTTGAACGCCGGCCGATGATGGCGGCGAGCTCCTCCACACAAACACTACAAACCACATCACTGATCCACATTAATGCGAAACAAAGCATAACTGTGATCACAGCACTACTAAATCAACTATTTGAGGTGCTGAATTTTCTCTGGTCTCTGTGAAGTGTTAAAAATATTAAAAATATCCACATAATGCAATAAAATAAATTCAAGCAGTACAAATTAAATTAATTTCACTAGTTTCATTTAAACACGTTGCTGCATTTATACCAATTTCCCCCATTTACATATTTCACATTACTTATTTATGATATTTATAAAATATTGAGTATGTGGGATACCAGAACTACTAAATATAAATGGATTAAATAAATATTCCAGATGCTCATTTAAATCTAAATTGAGAGCAGTGGGTGAAAGCTCTTTGTCAGACCAGCAGAGACAGCGGGAATTCAACTGGGAGGAAGACGTTTGGAAAACAGCGAGTGGACGCGAGCACAGGCTGATCAGCACAGGCTGAACTTACTGATCACTTCATGCGGTGGCTACATGCGAAAGAGATCTGCTGCTGCTCCACAGTAAACATGCTTCTTTAGTACATTTATAGTCATTTAAAGGCCACAGTACGCCATCACTTAGCTGAGCCCTGGCACCATTATTTACACGTGCTGCATCTTGTTTATTATGAAATGCTTCCTAACAGACAGGAAGGCACGAGGGAGGTGGCGAGGCCTCATCTGGTCGCTTCATTGTAGAAACGCGCAGACATGATGAAAGATGGTGATTCTGATCCCGTCACAGCGTCCGAGTCCTGACGTCAAACTGGTGTGAAGCACCGATAATGAAATCATCAGCACGATCAATCGGCTGCTTTGTTACAAAAAACAACAAAACAAATGCAACAGCTATGATATGTTTCACTTAAACAGCTGCTAAAGTCGTCGTAAACTTTTGATGGGGACTGTATACTATATATATTTTGCATGGTTGGATCGTAACAAGGTTTCTAGTATAACTTCAACAGGCAACAAGAAGAAATGGGAGAGAAACGAAGCATTTTTTGAGCATGCAGTTTATTAAAAACAACACTTAAACTGAATGGATAGTCTGAAACGTTTGATGGGGACTGTATAATAGCATGTCGGTAATATTAGACCCATTCTATGGCAGGAATACATCTCAACCCAACTGTTGGTGCTTTAACACCTGCAAAAAATATTCAGCTGACAGTGAGCTACTAGATATACTTTAATTATCTCAGTCAATATGATCAACCAAACCAGCACTTTGTGATGTAAGAGTTTGCCGGCTCCAGGAGCCGTTTAAGTGAAGCACTTGTGCGCTGCTTTGTCTCACACACATCACAGGAATGAGAAATATCAGATGACAGTAAAGGGTTAACGCTGAGCCTCGGAGGTGCTGTAGACCAGCGGTCTCCAACCTTTTTTCGCCACGGAGCCGGTTTATGCCCGACAATATTTTCATGGACCGGCCTTTAAGGTGTCGCGGATAAATACAACAAAATAAAACTAGTACCGGTACCGAAAAAAAGAAGATTTATTCATAACACACGTGAAAAGACCCAGGAAAACCGAGTTAACGATAAAAACGATAACAAAATAACGCTGAAAACCGATAAAAACCCTGAAAACCATACATTTCACACCTGAGCCTCAACTCTCGCGGCCCGGTACCAAACGACTCACGGACCGGTACCGGTCCGAGGCCCGGGGGTTGGGGACCGCTGCTGTAGGAGATTATTTGCACTGTACGCAGAGCTGTGTTGTTCTTGGCTGGGTTCCCATCACGGGATATTTTGGTGTTGATTGGATTTCTTACTTTGAAGCCATCTAGTCTGTGTCATGTCCTGTAACCCGAGGACTGTTGATGATGATGGCGGATGTGTAGGTTGTTCTTTCTGTTGCTGCTGTGACGATGCTTTCCAAGGCACATCCTGCTCAACGGGAGGTTAACTCGCAGCTTTCAGGCGTGTTATCTTGTAGG